CCTTACTAAGATATCCCTCTCACAGTGAAGAGTTAACTGAGTAATTATATGGTTAAGTGCTCAGGTGGTGATACGTCGTGGAGTCAGGTTGCATGTGAAGTTCGAGGGTGTCGATGTCTAAAGTATCTTCAATACTGGGGATAGGAGAGTATCCGTCGATAAGACTCCCCTTTGTTGGCTGGTTTTCCTGATTTTATTAGTTGGACCCTTTGACAGAGAAAATGTAAACTCGGGTTACGCCATCCATCACTGGAAATTATATTGAATAGGTTCACAAACAGATCTACTTTTGTTTACAAGTCAAGGGTATAATATATGTATATTGTTACGTTTATATAGAAAGGCCCCTAGCTCATTTTATTTCCAAATTCCGTTTGGTACAAAAGTGACAGTGTAGTTTTGTACTACATCATTAAATTAGTTTCAGTGTTTATTAAAATTCATCTGTTGTGATAAAATTTCATATCCTTGGTTTTTAAAAAGTTGCATAACTTTTCTGTAAAATAAAAATGTTCGATAGGGCATTTCTATATTATGGTAACGGTATATAAGTGCAATTCTTGGAAGTTTTATGTAAAATTACCTTCGAATACTTGCAGTGAAGACTAAAATTAAATAAGTTGTAGTAGAATTTTTCAAAATCTTTTTTATTTGGAACAATATTTAGATGTTTGGTATTAATCAGTTCATTTCTGATAGTAAACATTTTGATTCAAGCATTATTTTTTTTCGCTTTTATACAAACTTAAGTAAATCGTTTAACTCATTATAATGGAATAATTAATCAAGCAAATATAATTTTTTAACCGACTTCAAAAAAAGGAGATGGTTTCACCCCTGGATCGTCCGAGAACACATTTGGAAATAGTGCATTAGTTCTCCCCGATTCCTGTTCTTGCTCTAACCGTATATGGCCTCTCCCAAAGTGTACTCAGATTTTTTTTTTTAACTCAGCGGAGCGCCATTCTTAGAAATGCAAAGCTGTGCTATTTTTTTTCAGAAATGTTTTTTTAATATTGGGTAAATTTTCTCTCTATACTCCTGCCAAATATTAAATAGCACAAGCTTTTTGTTTCCGTTGAATTTTAATTGTTGATATCATTATTTAAAATTATTCTCTGGAGTGATACTTAAATTTTTAAATAAACTTTTACAGTGAAAAAAAGGTTCGTATATATTATTATATTTATTCAGTGCATTATAAATATCGCTAAGCATTGGAAAGAAATTTTAAGCATAGCAAATTAATTAATTGCGTTTTCTAATTTAGTACAATTCAGATAATTCATTAAACGGTGAGAGGGAAGCAACAATTCTGTGGAATACTGTAAAGCTACTATGTACTAAAGTTTGCTAATAATTACGCAAAAAAATTACTTTAATTTGAACTAACTTAAACTATGTAGGTACAATTGTGTTCATGAAAATAGTATTGCGACAGCGTAAAATGGTAAAAAGTTAGTATTGTAAAATTGAACAGCTGGGCCGCCCACCATTTCATAGTTCAGGGTCTAAAGAATAGAAAAGTTAATCAGTACTTTTACTACGCATTGCCGTTCTATGATACATTTTAAAATGCATACGATTTCAAAATTACGTTATCATTTTATTTGCAAATTTAGCTTAATAGAAAAGTGTATTAACATTAAGAAAGATACCTTCATAGTACAGGGCTTAAAGACTTATATTTTTAAATACATTATTGCAAAAATGTTATTTTTGATTTTTAGTTTCCCATTCAAGAATAATCGATAAATTGTGATTATTATTTTTTCCTTCACATTTGATCGTTATTTTGTGATTTTTATTTTTTCCATAATTTTTACCCGTTATAATGGAGACTGCCTTTTTGTTGCCGTTTTAAATAATTTACAATCTAAAAAATTAAACGGTGATGGTGTAATCGAAAAAATTTAAGTAAAAAATAACGATCGAAATTGATAGATAACAAGTAATATTTAAGCGAAAAACCAAACCGACTTCAATTCTCATAAAAAAATTTAAACCAAATTAGTATTGCACCTCCTCGGGGGTGCCATCTTTCCTTTAAAAAAAAAAGAATTATAGAAATCGGCGAACGTGGTCCAAAGTTATATCGTAACATACATAAAAAAAAAAAAAACAAATATTCCAACGAATTGATAATTCGTCCTCTTTTTTTTTGAAGTCGTTTAAAAAAATTAAAAAGTAACTACTATTCTTGACCGAAAAATAAAAATTATAAAATAACGATTAAATTTCTCCGGAAAATATATACTAAAAATCATAGCTGTTTCTTCTAATTTAGTAGCCACTACTATTTTCTTGAGCAGCAAATTTTTGCAAGTACGAATTCATGAAACTTATATAACAAATAAGAAAATTTGCAAATTAAACTTTAACATCATTGATTGATTCTAAATTTTACATTTATTGGTAGCATTTCGAATGCCACTACTATTTTCGTGAACACAACCGTATGTAGTAGCTAACAACTATCAATGGAATATTACAAAATACATACATATGTATATATGTACATACGATAATCCACAATACATATAGAGGATCAGCTATACATACATATAAATTAAACATAATTCATAGTACATACGTTTGAGCATAGCACTAATTCAGATAAATACATACATAAAAATTTAGTTTTATTTTATAAACAAAAAACGAAATTAAATTCCTCGGACACCAAACATACATACATACATACATACATACGTACATCTAGCCGCATTTGGTTTTTTCTATTGTTTTCTTATCTTACTCGTACAATATAAAGCACACACGCTTAAAACAAATGGCAATTACCCAATAACACAAAATCCCCCCGTTGCAACCTTTGGCGGTCCGTTTATCCGACTATCCAAGCCTCCAAACCCGACCCGCTCCGTCATCAGTTGGTAAACGGCGTGTGGTGGCCCTTTACTCGATTTTCTTTTTCAGCTTGTTCTTTAGTAATCCCGGCAAGAGTGAAATGACTGCACATATGGACAGCAATCCCATCGATGTCCATGAGAAGGCTTCGCTGGAGCTAGTCATTTTTTGTAGCGTTTTGCCAGCTTGTATGGCCACAATTGAGGGTGGTGCCACACCGAAGAAAGTACCCAAAGCAAAGGTGGTCACGGGCACTCCAATTACGGGCGATGCCAAGTTAATGAACCAATTCGGTAGTATGGGCGTCATGCGTAGGAATAACATATAGTTGAACAGGCTATCGCGATGCTTCTCCACATGCTTGGACCATTCGTTTGTCTTCTTCGGCCAGAAGTGACGTATGAGACGACGTCCAACCAAATTCGAAAGGCTGTAACAGAGTGTGGCGCCCAGTGAGGAGCAGAAGCAAATGAGAAATAATGCGATGGGAAACTTGTAAAGGAATCCCAATAGAATGGAGAGGAATAATGATCCTGGAATGGCAAACGTTTGTAGGCTGTATGTAAGAAGTTAGTTAAGGAAAACAAAGTTGAGTATGTACTTACAAAAAATATGTACTTATACCTATATTATTATATATATATTCGTAATGTTTTTAGAGCAAATTTTTTTTTGTTATTTTTCAATAAAAATAGCGTCCAAGCTTTAACCAAAATCATATAAATCACATTTTCAAACTTTATGCAAAATTTAGGAAAATCCCACAAATTTCCAACTTTTTACATACAATTTTAGTCTAATGAAGTGCAAGTTTCAGACGGCTAAAAACCCCGTTGATTTTTGAGATTTTTTTTTGTGACGAATTTTTGCAATTTTTTCAATATAAGCATACATTTCTTATGAAATAAAACGCGGGAGACCGTTAGCCACAAAATTTAAAAAAAATCAACCCCAGATTTCGTAAATTGCACTTGTTATATAAAAATAACCGAAAAAGTAGTCTCTCAAATATCAATGGGATTTTTCAGCCGGTTGAAACTTGCACTTCCTTAGACTAAAATTGTACGGTCTATAAAACTGCATACCCAAAAATGTTCTAAAGATTCAGACTAAAAAGTTGAAATTTTAATAAAAATTTGTTGAATTTTCCTAAATTTTGTATAAAGTTTAAAACTGTGATTATTTTTGGTGAAAGCTTGGACGGTAGTTTTATAGAAAGAAAAAGCTCGAAAAACATTAGGAATATTAAAAAAAATCAACACATGGTCATTTGTTTGAGTCACTGTATATGTGTACATATCTAAATACACATATTCTTGCAAGAAATATACATTAGGGTGATCTAAAAAGCATGAAAAAAAAAGTAGTCGGATTTTTATGCTCTCCCCCTAGGATTTTTCCATATCGAAAAAATAAACCTATTTTATTTATGAAAAAATATTTAAATGTCTCTCAAAGCGCTTAAAGTTTCCCGTGTATTTTATATGCGAAATGGTAAAGAATCCTTGAAAATCGATATTTTTCAATCGGGCAACTGTCCCTCTTCATGAGGCTTCAAAGAAAGGGGACCTTTAAAAATAGCAACTATTAAAAAATGGTTAAATAAACAACTTGGTATTATTTCTTTTAGTCTATTCGTGAGAAACAGAATATTAATGTATTTCTTGGGCCCGTACTAAGCGCGGGGCAACATTGGAGACTGAAGAAATATCCTAAGTACCTGGTAGTCATATGAAAAGAGAGACTTGAGCGCTGCATGGCTGTCACAAAGGGTGTTAGGGTGCATGCAAAGAGGCGATGATTGAGATGCGGAAAGAACGCGTCTGATGAAATGTTTTCAACTCTTATGTAAGATATGCACTAGGCATTAAATGGCAAAAATTGTAATGACAAAGTTGGGCATTAGAAAATATTCGTGTAAAGGTGCTGGCCCAATGCAGGCTTGCTTTGCTTGCTTCGCTGCGAGAAGTGTCAAAAATTATTTGGAATATACTAAAACGTATAAAGGCTGGCCAAATGGCAGCTTTTCCTAACTTGCTTTAAGCGCCTCAAAGTTTGAATTAGACAAACGTTTTATTTGAAAGCGTTTTGTAGGCTTTTGACAAAGAGGTATGTTCCTTTCAAAATACATAAATTCAAACAAAAATTTGCTTACTTAATTTAAAAAAGTCACAGAAAATGCAGGTAATTCGAAATGAAATAAAAATGATTCATTGTTTCCATATTTATATTTAACATATCGTTGTCTTATAGTAAAAAGTTGCAAAGCCCACTTTTACAAATTTTACACGAGAGGAAAAAAACTTCTTCTTCAAGTAAATCGCTTTTTTAAGTTATGGTTTTTTTTTTGTAAATGTAGATATAGATATGTATGTATCATTATTATCATTTCTTTTAAATACAAACATTATTTCGCATTAATTTAAAAATAAATCTGAAACTTTTTCATACATTTTTTAAAGTTTTCTAGGAAATAATTATTAACGTTAAGGGAACAGACATTGACTTTTCAACCAGACAGCTGGTTACTTTGACAGCGTTCCAAGCCACCATTCGGCCAAGCAAGTTTTCAAAGTAAATCAAAGCAAATTGAAGTCAGCAAGGCGCGCAAAGCAAGCCTGCATTGGGCCAGCGCCTTAATTGTAAAAAAAAATAGTCATTAAATTCATTTCCTCAAGGCATTTTTCAAATGCCTCAAATTTTTTTTTGCCATTTTGATGCCTAGTGGAAACTCGGCATTAGTATTTACTTAGTACTTTATTTCGAAAGTGGCATTAGTCACTTCATACCTCGTGAGCTTAAATTACCGGCTATTTGTAAACGAACGCATCTGTAAATCGTTATATCGTCATAAACTAACGACAAAACCTTTTGGGTTTAGAAAAACCTTGTATTGAATGTAGCTGGGATCAAGACTTAGGACTGTTTGCACTACGTCTAGTTAACAATAACTGGAGATACAAGCTTCAGTTAAACACAACGACTGCTTTATCGATCACATGTTATATGCTGGCTGTCGATAACGATGTTTAACTGGAAGTTAGAACTAACCAGACGTCTTGCAAACGGCCCTTACTGTCTGCGGCAAATTTTAAAGATCCTACCTACTAAGGAGAGTGAGGCTCAGGAAAGGAAATAATCAACACAAAGTCACACAGGTCCATTTTACAACCAAATTTTGGCGGCCTTCCATCAGCTCAAACAAAGCACTCAGAATACTCCTTAACAAAAATGCGCCGGAAATCACCCAACAGTTCTATTCTCTAATTCTTCTCGTAGGTTGTGGACCACAACTACCTACAGATGGCGTGAGAGAATACCTCCTGAGTACCACGACAAACTTGTCTTCGGAAATACAAAGGTGCCACCTCAAACGCGTTATCACATCTGTTCCGACTCCAACCTGATGAAGGATTAAAAAACTGCCTTCGGCATAACCTTATTCACATTAATATCGAATTCGAGGACGCTCACTGCGGAGTCTCTGTGCAAAACAAGACTTTTTAATATCTTCGAAAATCGTGTTTAGCGCTGATTCCATTGATGAGTTTTACGGCGCAACCCGTACATCGCTATGTTTATCGCGTTCCCTGTCGTGATCTAAGCGTCGTATAAAAAAAAATGTAGGGACAAGAGTTGTGGAGAATGAAATATGCGAAACACCTACATAGGTGCAACAAAACAAAAAAAAGAACATTAATTTATTGAATTTTCCTGAGTTCTGCACGAAGTTTAGAAATTACGTACACTGCCGGCAAAAAATATTGGCGCACCAAATTTTTCACAATATATACAACAATTTTTATTCTAATATTTTTTCGCTAATTTTGTATAAAAATATGGTTTATTCTACAACAAAAAATATAACAAAATAACTCCTAAACTTTGTGCAAAACTCACGAAAATTCAGCAAATTTTCATAAAAATTTTCAAATCNAAAAAATATTGGCGCACCAAATTTTTCACAATATATACAACAATTTTTATTCTAATATTTTTTCGCTAATTTTGTATAAAAATATGGTTTATTCTACAACAAAAAATATAACAAAATAACTCCTAAACTTTGTGCAAAACTCACGAAAATTCAGCAAATTTTCATAAAAATTTTCAAATCTTTAATCAGATTTTTTAGAATTTTTTTGAGTATGCAGATTTGTAGCCCAATCAATTTTATTATAATAAAGTACAAGTTTTAAGTAGCTAGGAATAACCGTCGATTTTTGGCAATTTTTTTTTCACGCAGTCCCTTCCATACAAACTTTTTTTTCGAAAATACTTTATATGGAAAAAATGCAAAACACCTTCAACAAAAAAAAATCTCAAAAATCAATGCGACTTTTGACTAACTCTGATTTCGCATTATTTTACTAGAATTTAATGGGCTGCAAAACTGCATCAAAAAAATTCTAAAAAATCTGATTAAAAAGTTGAAAATTTGCTGAATTTTCGCGAGCTTTGCACAAAGTTTAGGAATTATATTTTTATGTTTCTTGTTGTAGAATGAACCATATTTTTATTTTTGGCAGAGAAATATTAGAATAAAAATGGTGGCATATGTTGTGAAAAATTTGCTGTGCCAATACTTTGTTCCGGGAGTGTACATATATTTTTATGCTTTTTGTTGTATTTGTTGAAAAATTTAAATCTATTGTATATTCTTTTATTTTTATTTCCAATAAAAAAAAAAATATCGCGCGCCAAAACTTAACCGTTAGAAAGTGTCAAAATGGTTTAAGTTGCAAGTTTTTAATAGTTTTGAGTTCAATAACTTTTTCTGAAAAATTTCTCTTGCTCTCAATTTTACTCTCTGTTTTTCTTTTACGCTCCCGCTGGAAAAGTTATTGAATGGACCTTACTGGAAAAGTTATTGAATGGACCTTATAAATATTGGCAAAAATAAATGTGTACAATTTACGTGAGCGCCACTCGCATATCTAAACATGTGCTATTGCCGGCGATTTCCTTCTTCACTGCTTCTCACACATTTTCTTAATAAGCTGGTAAGAGCGCACGTAATTTTAAAATTGGTACGAAAAATATTTGAAAAGAAAATTAAAAAACAAATGTTCAACAATACTAAAGCCAAGTTGAAAGCAGCAACAACAACAACAACAAACCCCCATGTGACATAAATAAATAATGACAGCGCGCGCAGATTGAATTGGGGTCAAGGTTATTGCTATTACTTGGCACGCGCGAGCTTATGGTTTACCGGCCGCCGTCGCTGAACTAGTGAAATGTGTATGGAAATTTTACTAATTTATTGAAGTTTTATAATATGTAGCTACTTGGTTGGGTGAAAGGCATATGTAGATATGTGCATGCACATGTGTACATATGTACATACATATGTAATATACAAACATACTTATGTATATACCCTGCAGTAAATAATTATCAATTGATAAAAATAACCAGCTTAAGCTTTTTTGCGGGATTTCACAAAATATATAACTTTTATTAAACAATTTTTATTGAGCTTGAGTCCAGTTGGACTAAGTTGATATGTACAGCAGCAACTCAACATATATGTATTCATTGTAACCTAATTCTCTGTATGAGTCAAAGAAAATTTTCAACTGTTAAACATTTTTAATTCCAAAATATATGTACTATCATTCAACAAAGATCTTTATAGAAAACTCTAACTAGTTTTATTTCCATACGATCCTTGGACTTCTAATAAGGCCGTTTAAATTTTCACAATAATTTTTCATAAAAACGGTCAAAAAATAACAAAAAACTATATATAACTTTTAGTTAACTACAAAAAGCTAACTTGAAACTAGTTGAAAACTAATGCAGGAGTCATGCATACGTAATCGAGGGATTGTTTTCTTTAAATAAGTTTCTATTTAAATATCCAGAGTAAGCTGCCTTTACATGAGGCGATTTTTTGACAGGCGATAATCGCATGCAAAAGTTGACGTGCTGTCTACTTTGAGGCAAGCGATTTTTGAATCACCATATACACGAGCGATTTTTCCAGAGCAATGTTGAACCGCCTAGAAAATCACCGCATGAAGGCAACAGGCTGGTGAAGTATCAGATATGAAATTTCCTTGGACACACATACGAAATAATGACAATTTTTTTATTGACCGTTTTCTTTAGAGCTGCATACTGGCCTACAGACAGAAAGATAAAATTTTAAGCCAATGTAAACGCTTTCTACTATCTTTTCGGTCCTCTTCTAAACTGAGACTGATAGATTACGTAGACGTTTCAATGTTCACAATACNAAATTCTTTGTACTAGAACTTTTTAAATTGAAGCCACTCACGTTTAGTGGACAATAAAAATACGAAGAACTATGATAACAAACTTACAACAAGACATTACAGAACATTTTAATGGGCTTTATATCACGTTTAAGTAACAATAAGCCTATATTTTCAAAGCTGGCAAAGAAATGAAAATTTGTATTTCTTGTTGTTTACACAAAGCCTTGCCAAATATATATATAAGTCAAAATTATAGAAGGCATGTATACTTCTCCCTTTCATTTTTTCATACAGTTTATGCTTCTTTCTGGCTTTTACAAAAATGCAGGGATACCGCACTTATTTCGGTACAATATGATCGTAATGTATTTTCAATTCGAAATCAAACAAAAACATCCCACGAAAATGTTTGCGATTTTAGAACCATTAGTGAATATTTGCAAACTACTGCAAATAATAGAGTGCCATATCTTACAAAGTTCAGAGTATTAACGAAACAAACAAGCATTTTATGGCTTCATGTTTCCTTCAAACCGCATTGCTATTTTTTCTAACTTTTCCTTTTGTTTAGCGCTGTAACCTATTAAGTTATATCTTTTAATTTATACATGTGAACTATTTTCAATGAGCATTTTTTCATTTGCTCCAGAATTTTGGGTACATTTTCTTATAGTACCTCTCATTCTTTTTTATATTACATATATACACTCCGAAGTTCGGGATAGTATTTTGAATATACCAGCAATATATGTAAAAGTAGTGGCGGCTGCTGTAGAGCATTACGCAGAGCCTGAGTTCAAGCCCAGTTTTTCTAATAGTGGTTGCCCCTCTGTTGGTAATAGTAAACCTCCGAGTGTATTCTGTCATGGAAACAACTTCTCATTAAAATACAATTGCCGTTCGGAGTCGGCGTAAAGCTGTCCTTTAATTTGTGTGACAAAATCACGCACGCCGAATATCGGACNTTTACATGAGGCGATTTTTTGACAGGCGATAATCGCATGCAAAAGTTGACGTGCTGTCTACTTTGAGGCAAGCGATTTTTGAATCACCATATACACGAGCGATTTTTCCAGAGCAATGTTGAACCGCCTAGAAAATCACCGCATGAAGGCAACAGGCTGGTGAAGTATCAGATATGAAATTTCCTTGGACACACATACGAAATAATGACAATTTTTTTATTGACCGTTTTCTTTAGAGCTGCATACTGGCCTACAGACAGAAAGATAAAATTTTAAGCCAATGTAAACGCTTTCTACTATCTTTTCGGTCCTCTTCTAAACTGAGACTGATAGATTACGTAGACGTTTCAATGTTCACAATACTTATGTCAATTTCACATACATACACAAATTCATATTGTNACAAAAAAATAAGCTTCTAGCTTCGAAGCTAGCACAAAATAAAATTTTTTGATTTGCTGTTTACAAAAAAAAATATTGTCTGGTATACAAGTCAAAATTGTTAAATATTNAGCTCTTGGCTCAATCCTTATCCATTCGTCCTGAAATATACTAGCCAAAAACGCGATTGCTTTTTAAAAAAGAGAAACATTTCGAAATTTTAATTTTTTTTACTCTTTAGAAAGTAATTTATGCAGTGCGGTTGATATGCGGTTTTGTTCTTTAAACGACGATATGTACAAGCAAGCAATCAATTTAACCTGCTACTACATCGATTTAACTTTTTACCTTAGTACAAGTTTGTAATTAGCGAAACGCATTGTTTTGGAATGTGCTCGTATATAGTAGAAAGATAGATATCGTCGCTTGGCGTGCAATACAGCGTATATAATAGTCCGAAACTTTTAAAAAAGTGCAAATCAACTTATTTTCTTTTAAACTTTTGAACTGTTTTCTAACTGAACTTATTAAATTTGTGAAATAGGCTAGCACTGGGAAAGGGTACCGAAAATAATTTTTTTTCTCAGCCACCGTATATGCGGTATTGCACACCAAGCGACGATTTGTTTGAACATACGTGGACAAAAGTGTTCGTCATTTATCATATCGTCATTTGGCGTGCAATACCTCATATCCGCCAAATGCAATACCACGTATAAGGTGGCATAGAAAAAAATTATTTTGGTTACCCTGTCTCAATGCTTCTCTACTTCACAAATTTAATAGTGTATAATTATAGTAGAAGCTCATATTTAGTAAATTTAGTTCATTCAAAAGTTTTGAAGAAAATTAGTTTATTCGCCCTTTTGTGAAATTTTCGGAGTATCCTATAGCAGGAAGAAAGGAAACATTGTTAGTAAGCAGGAATTGCCTATACCAAAGCGCTACATGGTTTTGACAATAAACGAAGCATATCAGCTTTTTAAAAAGGAACTCAAGGATTTTGACATTAGCAAAACAAAATTTTATGCGAAAAGACCAAGATCAACGGTACTAAGGTTAATTGACTTTTGCACCAGTATGCGAAATAGCGTAATTGACGTTATTTCCCTTCATCTTGTTACCTGTCACCTACTAGCTACTCTGGCCTTAAGTGATTTGTATTATTTACAATAAAACCTCATATTTGCATAAAAAAAAAACGAGTGTGTTTAAATTCTTAAACAAGAAATTTTATCTCATTGGAAAAAATCGGAACGTCCGAACCACTTTTTGACAACTAGTTTTTGACAGCTATTAAACATCGTTGGGATGTTTAAGTTGACGCATTGGTTATGGCTACTCATTATTCTAACAACCATGAATACATATTTTTTTGGACCGTTAACAGATTCGCAGAATTTTACAAGAATCATTTTACAAGAGTCATCTTCGATACGAGTTCCATTTCGGGAACGTCCGAATGGGCACTTTTAATCGCTATGCACTTACCATATAACATTTGTGGAAAATATTTTTATTGGTTTCAGAAATGTATTGATGACGACCACTCATGACAAAACAATTGTGTTCATTCAGAGCCTACTATAGTTTTTATGATTGAAAAACCAGTAGATCTATTGTGCCCTCAGTTAGTCACGAAACCTCAGCTAGCCCTAGAGACTCTATAAATTTCAAAAAAGATCCCGGGAGTTAGCGTTGTATGTGCTCTCTCTTGACCACAGATGCCCAGATGCGGAGACACAGAAGCGACATAGGTCGCTTGAGCAGCCCTTCTCATTGGATGAGATTTAAAAAAGGATACAATACATAAGCGGTGATTACGCCAAACATCACTTCGAAGTAGTACATATCTTTGTAACGATCCAAAACTTTGGCTAGCATTTTAGCATCCTGAATATCACGGGGTATTTTAATGTGTTGCTTCTCCGACCTGAAAACAAAAAAAAAGTAAAAATTAATGAAATAAAATTCAAAAGAGAGCTGCACAACTGTGGGAATGTGAGAATGTATCTTTGTATATGTATGTATGTATGTATTTATATATAAGTATATTTGCATTTCCAACGACAGTTGTATACACAAAAAAAATTACAATAAAATGTTTATTTAACACTTGTCGCTGCTTGGCACCGCCAAGTGCCAGCGTGGTGTTATAAGAACACAATTTTTTTTTTAATTTATTACGTTATGACGTAGTATACATACATATATGCATGCATATGTAGTTATGTATTTGCAATTTCGCAACCACGAGTGCAAATACAATTTCAGTTGGATATAGACTGTTTTCTTTTAAAATTACAACATATATACTGGCCACAAAAATTATTTAAGTGTAATATGTATTAAGGAAATGCATTAAGTAGAAATGACATTGAGAAGAAACGTGACGATGGCGTCTGCAGTCTAACAAAGATTCGCAAATATGCAATTTTTAGCAGCTGTAAATTTTTTAGTAGCACGCGTAATGCAATAAATTAGATGACTTCATACAACACGAATTCAATTCAGATGTTTAAATTTGAGGCGGTGAGGGTATTATCAGTTAAATAAGTAATTACCGTTATTATGTCGTTATCATTATGTTAAGCTTGTAGAAGATTTTTTTCACAAGACAATTGACCGATAAGTCTTTAGTTTTTGAAATGCACGATAGTTCTTGGCTCGATATACATAAATCTGGGTCGTTTCCGTTACGTAGAACCCAATGTCGTCGGAACGAGTTTATAATCGTCTGAAGGTCTACTGTGATATCCATATAGCAGTCCAAAATCTAGGAATTGCAACTGAGATTACTGTTGTTGTTGCATCAGTATACGAAATTCCCAAGAGTTTGGGATTGGAGGCGCTGCTTCAAGTCATTCCTGGTTTTGTAGAAACCAGAACTCTGAGATCGATATACTCAAAGACTTTCGGAGCATTCAATTGGTCATGTAAAAATACAAAATGACACATGCTAGGTGGTTTTGTAAAAATCGTATGTGCATATACAGTATCGATCATATCAATAGCACCACCATTTCAAAGTGATATTGTTTGCTAGTTATGTATGTTTAACTATTTATTTTTAAGAATTTTTCTTTAAAATACACTTAATTCTCTAACAAATCCCATATAAACACAAGTTTAAAACTTTGTAAAAAACTAAAAAAATTGAAAAAATTTTCACCCAAACTTCAAACTTTTATCTAAAGAGTGTTAGATTCAATTTAAGTCGGATAATGTGCAAGTTTCAAGTGGCTTAAAATTATTGTTGATGTTTTAGAATTATTTCTCGCATTTACTTTCATACATTACATACAATTTATTTTTATAAGGAAGAAATCAGCAACAGCTTCAGAAACAAAAAACGTATCATTAACCCTAGAATCGTAAGACAGTTTTACCCTACGTTATTCGTAACAGATGTAGAATGAAAATATAAAGTTTTTTGCAATAACCGTCTAAGTCGACTTAAGAAAGAATTGACTTAGATATGCTATCGTATTCTGCAACTACTATTCCATGTGTATGTGAAATCCCCTTCTCGCCAGCCAGGCTATTTAAAAACTTATAAATGAACATATTTTGGTATCTCCATAAGGTTAACATTACAATCCAAATGTTTAAAATATTTTTTCTCGAATTCAGGTTTTTCGACTTAGGCGATTGTTGCTTATGACAATGGAAATAAAGAAAGCACTGCCGAGCGCACACAGCGATAGGGCAAAACGACTAAAAGTAACGGGACTTTTTATGCGGCGTACACCTAAAATTTACGTACATATATTACGAATGCAGGGTTAAAATATCACAATTAGCAATTAATTATTTGTTAATTAATAACACTACAATTAACAATTAATTCATTTTTAAATGTTGCAATTAATGAGGTATCAGTTTATTTGAAAATAGGTTTGATTTTAGACAGTACTACATATTTTGAAATTGTGGAAATTATCAATGGTCAAAATTTAAAAAATTAAGAGAAATATGGGTTTTTTTTATATTTTACCCTATAAAAAATCCCAACAAGCCAAGTCCGAAAATAGATTATTACATACCATTTTAAAGGCCTATATATCCTTCTTCTCAGATGACATTCGATCTTTGAAATCGAGTCAAAAGTAGTCATTCAAAAACTCATAAATCTACAAAACCGTATTTTTTAACCTAAATCGACAGGTCGCGACCTCTAAATGACCTTTGAAATGTCTATAAAAATAGGCAATAATATTTCTCATAAACACGAATTTCAAAAAAAAAAAAAAAAAATGCTTTCCCAGCACAGCAACAGCAGTTTTTAGTGTATTTTTCACTTTTTCAAACACTGTTTAGTACTATAGTAGAGTCTAATTTTATTTGCCAAAAGATTAAATTTACTTGCCAAAATATTAATTTTATTTGTCAAAAGGTTAAATTTATTTGCCAAAACTTTAATTTTATTTGCCAATAGGTTAAATCTATTTGTCAAAAGGTTAAATTTATTTGCCAAAAGATAAAATTTATTTGCCAAAAGATTAATTTTATTTGCCAAAAGTTTAACTTAATGTGTCAATGCTATATATAAAATCGATTGCACACTCATGGAGGAGGGTTGCCACCGGTTTAAAACATCAAATTCAACTTGAATTAAGGGAATTATTTATTTGAAAATTATATTGCGAATAGGTACACACATATGTACATAGAGAGGTATGTACATACATACATACATAAGTATGTCCACTCAGTCAATATAGTTTAGGTACCTACAGCGAATTTTTTTGCAATACGGGTAACTATTTTCTAAATATATTATTTTTTGCTAATTTTTTATAAAAATATGGTTAATTCTGCAACAAAAATCCTAAAATCAGAGTTCCAAACCTTGTGGCAAATTAAAGAAAGTTCTGCAAACTTTCATTCAAATATTGCATTTTTTATTTACACTCTATAGAAAAAAGTTGAGTATACGGTTGTTTAGCCCATTCAATTTTAGTATAATAAAGTGCAAGACTGAGGTAGCTAGGACTTACCATTAATTTTTTAAAAATTTTGGTGTCGCTCTTTTTTCCATATAAAAAAATGATCATAATATGTAGTCTGACATTTATAAGTACCTCAAAAAGTGTTTCTTATTTTTAGTAAATGCGTGACAAACTTATGGGTAAAAATGTGCGGGAATATTTATAAAAAAATTAAGACTAAAGGCGCGAATTAGTGACAAAACAAAAAAAAAAAAATAATTTATATGCTAATGATTTTGAAGTGACCAACCCAACAGATCGCAGAAAAGACAAATATGTATATGTATGCATCTATATACATATCGTCGTTTAAATTAAAAAAACAACAAAATCAACAAAATGCAAAACCGCGTACCTATCAAGATAATGCAAAACCTTGTATGTGAGGTTGCATAAATTATTTTCTAGAGAGTAAAAACACTTATGTATATTTCAAAATGATTTTCTTTTTTTATAAAGCAATCGCATTTCTGGCTGGTATATTTTAGGACGAATGGATAAAGATTGAGCCAAGAGCTTATGTGAGCAAATCCAATTTTTGGCTGCCAATGTCAGTTACGCGGTTTTGCAGAATGACGATACGCGGTTTTGTACTTTAAACGACGATATGCATGTATGCAGTACTTACTCATCCAATTTGGGAAATATCATGTATACGTAGACCATGACGAGCAAGCTCGATATAAAGATCGCGGCTAGTATGACTAGAGATCGCTTTGTTGCATTTCGCTCATCGGCGGACATTGCTTGCTTTTGCATTTTTGTAGGATTTTGTTTATCTTCCAACGCAGTGTTGGTCACAGACTGGGAGCCTGCCGTTGTCGCTTCATTGCCATTGGCCATTAAGCGGCCGGAACTGGATTGCATATGATCATTGACAGCGAGATCTGCAAAATAAACGAGGGAGAAGGCTGTTATTGGAGTCCTAGATTTCGTTTTTGGACATACATATGTATTCGAATCTCGTAAAAATTACCTTTCGTTTTTGTTGCTGTGGCGGCGGCGGCTGTAGCAGTCGCTGTTTCAGCTGCTGCATCCAAAAACTGGGCGTTTTCAAACTCCATTGATGTAATCGAGGTCTTTAAACAACTTGCGCTTTTCCCCTTATTTATCTTTAACTTGGGCTAGAAACACGTTCACCAATCGCCAATGGATTCGTTTTAACACACACACACTACCTTAATATACATATATATTTATTTTCTTTGTTTCATTTTTCTATTTCACGTTTTTTTTTTGCTATTTGTTGACTTCCGTGTTTACCTATTGCACACTTCTACAAAAAAAAAAAGTTCTGTGCTGTAAAAATTATCACAAAATGCGAATTATAATTTATTGCTTGTATGGCACTTTCGCATAACTTTTATTCGTGCAAAGATTTCGACACTTTTACATATGTATAATTGTGCACTTGTTTATTTATACCACAAATTCGACTGCACCTAATTTAAGTAATTAAACTCCGCCCTATCGCATTCACACGGAATTTTCCACTTCAATTTTGTTATTTGCTGTTCACTTGCGAATGCCCTATCGGCCAGCTCAAACAAATTAAATCCAATCAGCGCATGCAATAAAAAGTGACTGAAGAGTCTTCTTCTTTTTAACCACAGAGATGGCAATCAAATTCGTACTGTCAACTTTGACATCAAGCACAAATATGACAGTTAGCTTGTTGATTGTCTAAAAGCACTGTTTGCATTGATCGTTTAACAACACTTTTAACCATATGATTCGTTCCCGCTCAGCTGGTGTAATTACAGCATATAAACAAATCATTCGATTTAAATTTAAACAACAGGCGGGAGATTACACTTGCCTCTACGGCAAAATGGATAACTATTTTGCTGGCGAAATCGTAATATCCGCTTCTCAGGCAAATTTGGAAGTTACGCTTTTGGGTGGACAAAGTTTTCGGTTAGTATAGGCGCTTGTATTTTTTGCATTCTAAGTGTATTGTATTTATCTTAGCTGGAGGAAAGTAGGATCAGCTGGTTTCAATTTTCCGGAATTACATGGAGTTGCCTACAATGCATACTGGGAATTAAGCCAAAGCGCTGCTGCTATTTCCTACAAAGTTTATCCAACACCACAAAAGACCACTAAGTTTCCGCGCAAACATGACTACTATAGAGACTTGTTGCGTCGATATTTGCGACTGGACTTTGATTTGAATAAAAATCTGAACAGTTGGCGTGCAGCACATGAACATTTTTCAACTATTACGCCGCACATGAAAGCGGTTCGTGTACTGGATCAAGAGCCACTTGAGAATATACTGTCGTTCATTTGCAGTCAAAATAATCACATTAAAAGGTAGGAGTTAGTATGGTAAAATCCGCAAAAAACTTTCTCAGTTTGAAAAAAGTATTTTTTTTATGTTGTTGTTTTTGTAACAGCTAACAGCCCCCAAAGAGTTTTTGGGGAGTGTCGCTGGAGTGACCGTCCTTGGGCAGATATAAATCTGGGTCGTTTCGGTTACGTAAACCCGGCTCTCGCGGGAACGGTATTTTTTAAGTTACCTTTATCCCTTTGAGAAAAAAAAGCTTCAACTACAGAGATTTTTCGATGTTAGGATGAGCGCATACCTTTTGTTGTTTGTTGCTATGGTTTCCCGGATAAATCATTTACAAATGCGAACATTTAGCGATTTTACAGCAGCTTTGAAGGCGCCGAACAGGATGTGATGGTCAGCTTCAATATTTTAATTAATTTAATTAATTTTTTAATTTTAAGAAGTCTGAAATTGAAAATGTACAGACATACATATGCACTGTTACTCACAAAATTGCGCGTAAGGTTTTTTGTTGATAATATTCGCAAAAGTTTTAACGCAAAATTGTTTGCTAATTTTGTGTTAAAATATGGCTTATATTTTAGCGAACCTCATTTAAATCCAATAATAAAACTGTGTAGGTACGAAAGTTAACAAAAATTTCCAAAGGTCAGCAAATTCGCAAACTTTTTAATAAGAATTTCTAAAACAATTCAGCTATGCAGTTTTATAGCCCATTAAATTTTCATTAAATTTTAGTATAATGTGCAAATTTCAAATGTCTAAGAATTCGTTTTTCGATTTTTTTTTGCTGACTGTCCTACGCGTTTTTTTCATATAAAAAATTCTGAAAATACTTAATGTGGAAAAAATACGTAGGACAGTCAGTTGAAGTTTGCACATTATTTCACCAAAATTTAATGGGCTATAGAGCNTATAATGTGCAAATTTCAAATGTCTAAGAATTCGTTTTTCGATTTTTTTTTGCTGACTGTCCTACGCGTTTTTTTCATATAAAAAATTCTGAAAATACTTAATGTGGAAAAAATANTATAATGTGCAAATTTCAAATGTCTAAGAATTCGTTTTTCGATTTTTTTTGCTGACTGTCCTACGCGTTTTTTTCATATAAAAAATTCTGAAAATACTTAATGTGGAAAAAATGCGTAGGACAGTCAGTTGAAGTTTGCACATTATTTCACCAAAATTTAATGGGCTATAGAGCTGCATAACTGATTTTTTTTTTAGAAATTCTTGTTAACAAAAAAAAAAAACCGTACGCTCAATTTTGTTAATAACAGTATGTATCTTAAGCTTATAGAATATTCAACGCCAGAACGGGCAACTGAGCGTAAGTAGGCCCATTTTGAGTTTAAACATCCAAATATTCATAATTTTCGTAGAAATCTATTGGGGTATTCACAACGGTGTCGTAAGTGTCGTATTGCTGTATGTCGTAAACTTTAAACGCCTAAAAAATATATTAAGGGGTTCGCAAAGTACCATCGAAGTCATTTTATGAATTTTCGCTTAATTAACCACATAATAACAATAAAAATAGATTGGCGCTTACACATATGCTAGTATTTGGCCGAGATTCTCCTCGGATTTGTGGTGTACGCCTTGATGTTGTTACACAAAGGGGAGGGACCTACAGTTTTACGCCGACTCCGAACGGCGATTGTATTTTTAAGAGAAGCTGTTTAACCACATAATCACATTTAGTTAACCACATATCCACTTAATTTTTTCTATTCAGTAATTTTATTTGCTTAAGAATAAACCATTTTCAACCTTACAACTTTACATATCGTTACCTTAATTCACAGATTATAAGATTTTATTTTTTTTATTTGATTGTTGCAAAAGTTGTGATCGCGGAGATCGGGCTACTCTGCACTTTGAAGATAATAGCAAAAACAACATACTTCAAGAATTAAAAAAAAAAACATACCAACATTCGTTTCGTCTACCTTCTGTTGTAATTCACGATTGAATAGCGCTATAAAATAATAATAGTGCTCCTTGTGTTGTGTGGAAAGCTTACACAGGACAACATTGATTCTGGTGCGGCAAATGCTAAAGCTTTTTTTGATAGACTTTTTTTGTGCTGATTACGAAGCCGTAAGTATAAAGTTTCCATCAGGTCCAGATTTTGAGAAAAACATGGTTAAACTGTCAAAAAATCGCGTTGTTTGCTATATTTGAAAAGCTCTATCAGAGAAAGAAAACGTGATAAAAGCTTCCACTTAGGCTTAAAGCTAGAACTCTCGACTGCTGTCCCCGAAAATACCATCCCTGCATCTTGACCCAAAGGGCACTTATAGTCATTTATTGATCAGCAACAAAATGTTTGATTTTAACAAAAAAATGTTTTCCAATATTTTTTTATTGTTCAATAAATGACTATAAGTGACCATCTATCTATATCTAAGAGAACTAAATGGGAACAAAAGCTTCCGGAACGTTCTGACAAAGCACTAAACGGGAACAAAAGTCTTAGGAACTGTTTCTCGAAGAACCATTTGCGAACTAAATTCTGAGGTACTTTCTGACAGAGGACGAACTGGAACAAATCTTCTATGAACTATTCGCGAAAAATAGAAGCGATAACAAAATTTTTCTCATAGCGTTCCATTAGTTTGAAATGATGGAATATTAAAACTAAACAAAAAAGAACTGAAAGATAATAATGCAAATTAAGTCAACGAAAGACTTAGGACACGAACTTTTCTTGCACAGAAAATCAGAATTTTTTTCATAAGTGGACAGTGCCCCCTAATGATAAATGATCTGGAAGTTGGAATTATACGTTTCCGAGAGATTTGTTCGCAATTTTTTTTTTCGAAATGTTCCCGAACCTTTTGTTCTCATTTTGCTGCCGTTCAAACTGCTCTCAATACTTTTGTTCCCATTTAGTTTATTTGTGGGAACGTTTTTGATATAAAATTTTGTTCTCATGCAGAACTAAACCAAAACCTGAACGCGTTCTCGGTCCCTGCTTTATACACATATTTTTTTTTACTTACGGCTTTTTCGTTTTTTTTTTTTGATATTATGAGTGCAATTTATAAAAACTCATTCAATACGAAATACATCTTTATATAGAAAAAAATACATAAATCCGTCAACAAGCAAAAGAATTTCTATACTAATATTTCTGATGCTATTATAATAAATTTGTATTGGCTACAAAACTGCATACCCAAAAATGTTCGTTGTACACCTTCGAATCAAAAGTGTTTTTATAAGGCAATTACGAATTTCGGCCGAACGTAAGGGTTGCTTTTTTACATTTTTCGTCATAATTTCGGTATTTACCTACAGTCGAATCTTAAAGTATGATGTATCGAAGTTATTGCCTCCAGAAGAAAATTTTTTTGTTTCAAATTTTATTGACGTCAATTATCCCATTCTAGTATTTATCCACCAGATCTCAGCTCTTATCATCCTAACTTACCACCCTAATAGCAGTGCATTAAAGCTCGCCAAAAAGTATTAAAATTTTGCTCCATCATTTCAGGAGAACCACATATTTTAAAACACTTTTTATTGCCGAATGTACATACATACATACCTACATAGTATCTACATAAGTGTCACCGAAAAGTGTAAAAAGGCGAATAAACGTTTTTTTGAAATCGGTTCGCCAAAATGCTTGAGAGTTTCTTTTACATTTTGTGGCTATATATACATGGAGATGAGAGCACAGAGAGTAAATTTAGGTTGACGTATGATCAATTTAAACATGTCGTCGCCCGGATAAATAAATGTCATATGTGAAAATTGAGCCAAATTGAGTTAATAATGCAATAACAAATTAATCAAGCTTATTTAAATCCCGTTAAGGCGTGGCGCACAGGCGCAAAGTTCAGTTTCCTCAATGGAGAATCAAAAAATAATTTTTTTTTTTTATCTAATGATGGGTCGATACTACATTTGCAACACATATAAATTTTGGTCTCCATTGGAGTCGGTTAAGACGTCTCNAGATCTCAGCTCTTATCATCCTAACTTACCACCCTAATAGCAGTGCATTAAAGCTCGCCAAAAAGTATTAAAATTTTGCTCCATCATTTCAGGAGAACCACATATTTTAAAACACTTTTTATTGCCGAATGTACATACATACATACCTACATAGTATCTACATAAGTGTCACCGAAAAGTGTAAAAAGGCGAATAAACGTTTTTTTGAAATCGGTTCGCCAAAATGCTTGAGAGTTTCTTTTACATTTTGTGGCTATATATACATATATGGAGATGAGAGCACAGAGAGTAAATTTAGGTTGACGTATGATCAATTTAAACATGTCGTCGCCCGGATAAATAAATGTCATATGTGAAAATTGAGCCAAATTGAGTTAATAATGCAATAACAAATTAATCAAGCTTATTTAAATCCCGTTAAGGCGTGGCGCACAGGCGCAAAGTTCAGTTTCCTCAATGGAGAATCAAAAAATAATTTTTTTTTTTATCTAATACCCATCATCGATACTACATTTGCAACACATATAAATTTTGGTCTCCATTGGAGTCGGTTAAGGCGTGGCGCACAGGCGCAAAGTTCAGTTTCCTCAATGGAGAATCAAAAAATAATTTTTTTTTTTATCTAATACCCATCATCGATACTACATTTGCAACACATATAAATTTTGGTCTCCATTGGAGTCGGTTAAGACGTCTTCATAGGGTAATCTGAACTTTGACCCCTGTGCGACACGCCTTAACCGACTCCAATCAAGACCAAAATTGATTGATTTGGTAATAGAAATTAAAGCTTGAAGTAATGCTAAAATAAATATCATGCAAATTTTGATAGCAGGTAACTCAAAACTATTAGAATTCAACTTGTCTGTCTCCTTCTTGTATTTATTTTCATATATTTTCCATGCTTCTAGAATTTCCTCAATGGTTGACTGGCTTTGCTCCAAATATGGTGAACGTATTGGACATTTCAACGAACGCGAGGAGTATACATTTCCAAGTTTATCAGTTTTGCGAGAGCATCAATTGGAGGTTTGTATAAAAGCTTGCGATTATATTAATGTTTTCTCAAAAAAAAATTGTACACCTACGAGTATAAAAAAAAATAAATTTCAGCTGGAACCCAGCTTGCGGGAAGCCAAATTTGGCTATCGTGCAAAATTCATCGCACAAACAATTGCCAAAATTGACGAGTTTGGCGGCAAAGCATGGTTTGACAAACTTCGCGCCATGTCCTACGCAGATGCGCGCAACGAACTAGTACGTCTTCCTGGTATTGGTTACAAAGTTGCCGATTGTATTTGCCTTATGTCACTGGGTCACTTGGAGGCTGTGCCAATCGATACTCACATTTATAAAATTGCACAAACTGTTTACATGCAACAGCAATTGGCGCAGGTGAAAACTGTGACGCCGCGCATTTATGATGAAATTGCAAATCATTTTCGCAACGTTTATGGCCCATATGCGGGTTGGGCACAGGCGGTGCTTTTTTGTGCAGATTTGCAACAATTTCAGACAACAAAAGAATCGGCTGCCGCAGTGTCCAGTGTCCAGAGGAAATCGGAGAGTTCTTGCGCTAAGCCAAAGAAGAAACGAAAATAAAAAAAAAATTGCATGTTGCAAAAGCGTTTCTTTTTAGTTTATTTTTTTTTTGAGAAATATATTCTATGTTGAATTGTATTTCACTGTGTTGTGTTGCATAACAGTAAAATTCTTTGAATTTTATTTAATCGTTTTTTTTTTTTGCATTTGCTTTATGCGCTTATATGTAATTTTTGTTTTTGTATAAATAGTTGGTCCGGTAGAAAAAGGTGCTCATAATCACTGCATTGCCTCAATTGTTACGTGGGCATGGAAAAATTATGATTTTCAGCATTTAAATGCCTGTCAGCGGCAATGTTTACGCTAATCTGCAAATTCGGAAAAGAAGTGAACTTTGCTTTATTAAATGCGACAACGTGATTTTGAATGCTACACTTACACTTTTTCTTGCCTGATATTCTTGCAAAATGAACTTGTAGGGAATAGTTTGTAGTAAATAAAATTGCCGCTTACTGATCGTCACGTTGCCTCAATACTGACATCAATTGGTTGTGAAACTCACGTGTTCTACTCATATTTAGCCATCACCATGTAATGTCTGGTCGCCTTCTGCATTGTCCATTGACTTGGACACGGTTTGTACCTGAAAGGGAGGAATGGGGAATGTATCTTTAAACATGTATACATGTACATATATTTTGTATATGAATGCATTTTTAGAAGGCAGTTGCAGTCAAAACATTGAAATTCTATACGAAAATTCCTTTTGTTGACGTGTAGACTGATTATACCATATACTTAGATAAGATGGAGCGATTTGGTTGTGACGTACGGTGGTGATGCATTTAAATAATTATTAGTTTAGTCAAATTGAAGCTTTTAAATGTGTTCATCCCACCACTTACCTGATGGGCCTAAAGTTATCGCCTCGACAAAAGTATACTCCCAGTCGGTGACAACAGGCTCGTGTCGGGTAACGGTCAACGCGACACACATCGCTGAGTAGGTAGAGGGCTCTAATTTCACTATCTTAAACAAAGATGCCACCACAATGTGGTCTCTGACCACTTGCCCGTCATTCCAGCAAAAAACCACACCCAGCGACATCATCGAACACAAAATAAGCTAAACGGGAAGGCTTGAGAAGTAATAAATGCACGCCTAGGTGCTATAACACCCTCTTCATAATGGCAAGTACAATTCCCGAAATTAGAGCGGGGTTTCTCCCTGAAGTGACGGTAGTCGTAGACGTGCGTGATAGGGCCAGACGAATCAATTTGGACGTCCCGAGGATTAAGAAGCTAAATAACGAGACTGGGCAAATCGAAATCAAGCGAGAGAACGGTTTAGAGCACTTAGGCAGCTGCCATCTGGAACCAGTCAACTCTTGGCGACGGTAAAATTTTTGCGCAACCCTTTAAAATGAAATGACCAAGTGGGAAAGCAAGTGCGAGAGCTTTCCGTCGGCAATTCAGAGATTTAATAGCAAGGGGGAGGGATTCCTATCCTTCAGCCGGGGAGAAACGAGGAACCAGGTGCCTCATATAGAAAAAAAACCATATGAAAGAACCCCAGAAGGTATTTCTTTCTGAGCGTGAGAACCTAATAGCTCCTTAAAAGAAAGCATACAAATGTGTCTGTCTAAATGGCTAATAGCGTTTCGCTCCAGACACTATTTGTATTTCTTGTCGAGACTAGATTCTCTACCTTAAATTTACCTAAATATGACATTTATTGTTGAACTCACATGGCCGGTGCTACAATATCAAAGGTCAAAGGTCAGCAGCCAATGGAGTAAAGGGTGAAATGTATTCAACGTTTTGCTTGGCTTATTACCGATAGATATTTTCACCGAAAACTCGATTACTAACAGCGCCATCAGACTGCGTGCCTTGGGGCTCTGAAAGGAAAGGCCGTCCGGGCATAGTTCCATCATTAACGCATTATAGTGTAAAATTAATCGGCCCTATGCTGAATAACGTCATCGTCAGTAAAAGTGACGATACGGCCATCGTCAGCCATGTTACTGCTACGCTGACTATCGTCGACGATAACGATGACGATATTCAGCATAGGGCCAAATATATATTCTACCGAAAACCTGGGTTTACCACAAACCCCGCACGAAATTCCCAAGCCGTATTGAACGGACTCAAGGTAGGGTCCACTTCTTGGAGGTCTTAAGGGTCTTCACGACCGGATCAAAGATGAATTTTCATTAATTTCCTTCCACCTACCAGACCATGCAAGCATTTTGCAGGCTGAAACTTTTTCAATTAAGGAGACAGTAAGGTAGAGCAAAGAGAATGCACCCGCGAGAACACAGACGAATATCTAGATAGCCAAGTAACTATTCAGACACTCTATTCCACCTCTGTTATATCTGAAATAGTGGATGACTGTATGAGAGACGTGGCCTCGATTTCTGATCAATACGAAATTACCCTAATATGGGTGCCGGGGCATAGAGACATTTACGGAGACGAGACAGCAGACGAACTAGCTTGGTGCGGCTCTACACTGAACGTGTCTCACGCCGTAGACATGAGTGTCTCGCTCGGGCAAATCAAGCGCGGAATTGCCGACAGAGGTGGAACTGACCAGAATCGTATAGGATTACCCGGAAGTTCTGGGTGTCCTATGACCCATTTAAAACCAGGGCTCTTTGGGGAATGAGAAAAGAAAATACCTACAAACTTACTACAGTCTGCATAGGGCACTGGCCCCTTGAGATAGATGCCGAAAGGATTGGCTTACCCCTACAACTGGTTTTGTCGCTGCTGCAAAGGCCAGGGAACAAAGGAGACGGTCGAACACTTTCTGTGCGAGTACCCGTTCCTCGCAAGGATGAGGCTAAAGATACGCGGCAAACCATTCCGGTTTCGTAACTCGAAATGACCGCAGAAATGAGAGAGCACCACTCAGTCAGAGTTACTCTCTTCAGTCCGAAGTAGTCAGATTTAGTAAAAAAAATTTTTAAGGGGTAAGGGCTCGATATGTTTATCTAGAACCAGCTATAACTTACTATCTACTCAGTATTTAGGTACATACATAGCTGATAATTGAGGCAAAAACTTACTTTATATTTTCGATGCTTATCTTCCTTATCATTTTCCTGTGGACTATCAGATTCGTCGGTTGTTTTTATAAAAGATGAATAAAATGATGAGAAACTGGAGCCATCCATGTCATCACTGTTACCATTGCTATCTGTATTAGGCTGGAAATGATTAAGCAAAAAATGACATTATATGAAAATTGTGTCGAAAATAGAATTTTTATTTTTTTTTTTTTTCGTGGACATTTAACAGCAAAGCAATTTATATCGAGTTCTTATTTTAGCCTTATATGTTGTTTTACAATGGAAACTTAGAATGTGGCACAGTGCTTCCCTTCCATATAAAATGTGGGCAAAAAACAGAATTATGGACGGATATAAATGAAAATTCGCTTCTTAGTAAAATTGAGGACGCTAAATTCAAAAATGCAATTTGTTTTTGTATAACTTTCATCTTTCACTGCAAATGCAGTTTGATGTTGAAAATTTGGGTTCTTGTGGCATTTACCTGTTAAACTGTTACAAATTTTATTAAAATTATTTAATAAGTTAAATGAATTAGATATTACAATATGGGTATCAATTGAAATGGTTTTGAAAATGCTTTACTTCAAAACGATACGTAGAAGAGTTGCCACATGTTTAAAAAACCAAATTCACTTTAATTAAGCGAATAAGGTAACTGAAATATGTATATTGATTATGGGTATTATAAAAACATATTTAGACATATTTAGCAAGAAATAAGTGAAAAGTAAAAACATTCCTAAGTTAATTTAAGAGTCCAGTAATTTAAAAGGATTGTAATCGGAACAAATCGCTGATTGACAATGTATGTATTTGTAATAAAATAACAAATACGATGTCGTAAACCTTTGGTTTGACACAATTATTATTTTAGTTTACCTAAATTTGACTTTACAAACAGGTGGCAACCCTCTTGGTAATATTTGTAAGCTAAAACCTTCTTAAACCTCTTTCGCCTGACTCCCATATGGTGATACCTATCGATTTCATTTCCTTTAGTTCAAATGGAATTTGATTTTTTAAACAGGTGGCAACCCTCTACATGTAAAGAATATACCCTTTTCATACACATTTCGATTGACATCAACCTCTTAATAATTCATTTAATTTAATAAACAAATTTGAATATAATTTGTTTACAGGTGGCAACTCTCGAAAAAAATAAACCTCTATTGTCCACGAGTCAAGCGTTTTAATTTAACACTTCATTTTTGACAAAAAATGAAAAAATTATTTTATGCATTAGCGAAAAACGCATTACTTCAAAAAGTAAAAAAATTAGCAGGTTTTTATTTCTTTTTACGAAAGCTAAAAACTCTAAAAAATAACATATTTATATATGTATATATTTTTAATTCACTCCATTAAAATTTACCATTTATTGAAATTGAAATAAAAAAATTGTTTTCCTGGAATACTGCAGGGACACCCTGTGTTTAATATTATTCTAAAAGTTTTATTCCAGTAGTTCTCTACTATCTATTTGGAAATAAAAAACCTCAAACCTACATTTTATTTTAAAGAATGCATTTTTGACGTTTGTTTCCGTGGATAGCTTACGCATGGCTATGCTCCTATTAAAATTTGTCGACTTTAGTGGCTTCATGGCGGCATATAATTTATTTTAAAGGGACATTTCTGTTTAATTCTTCTTAGTGGATAAATTAGCTTTACAAAAAGACTAAACACGTTCACATTGCAGACAAAGAATTTTTCGATTTTTACCTACTTAGGCGGCATTGTGTGTCGGTTTGAAATTTTGAAAATTTTACTTTAATTTCGTAGGACATAGATGAGTAGTTCAAGTTTGCTAGAAGTTATGATGATCTCATTTCTACAAAAAGATGTCGCCTTTTGTTTGCCCTTTTCTTTTTTCATGTTCGATTCTTAATTAAAGGCAAAAGGTGTGAAAATGGTGTGTTCATTTCTTAAATTGTCGCAGTCTTGTAAGGAAAAAAGGCACATTCTCTGCCCTTTGAAGCTTTGTCAGGGGAGATGGTTGCCATAAAAATCAGATGGTTTTTTAGACAAGGACAGGATTGAGTGTAACATCAAACACATTTTTTACCGGGGCAGGGCAACATTTTTTGGAGGAAACGAAATCACCATAAGCATTCTGCTTCGACTTACGCACCTTCAGATCATTTCCATTGTCTCGATCCGGTGGCGATGGCATTGGCGAGCCAGCAATACCTTTTTTGGAGGAATCTGAAGGAGCCTTTATAAACATATAAAATAAAATATAAATTTCCCACTCTACACATAATAAATATTTCCTCACCATATTCGAACCGGGTTCGGCTTTAACAGAAGTCGCCTGCGATAATGGACGTTTCAGTTGCGCTGGTGTGATGGAGTGAAATGCGCCTTGTGTCTTTGTGGGCGTTGGCGCCAGCATAAGCGGTTGAGTCTGTTGGCGAAAATAAGATTATCGAAATGACTCCAAGAAGAAAAATTATCCATGCATCCTACCGTTTTGAAAGCACTCGAACTGCTCTCCTGCTCCGATAACGCCAGCGAGTTGGCCATATTTGAGTATGACATGGGCTGGTACATCATTGCCGCTGCGGGATGTGTATAAAACAACGACGGATGCGGATACATAACACCAGTCATATACTGCAATGGCAGTGCCTGCGCCGACGTGCTGGGCATATCGGTCACACTGGGCTTGCCTTGCGTTTGCGTTGCGGCTGCTGCAGCTGTGGCGGGTATATAGTATAATGTGGGGAAGATGCTGTGCTGCGGTGTGAAACCGCTTTGCGCCATTGTTTGCGATGTTTGTGAAGTGGTGAGACCGACCGAGAATGGTGGCCAAAGATTAACATTGCGCGAACAGGAAAGACCAGCCGCAGCATAGGAACCAGCGAAGGATACATCGCCTAGTGTTGTCTGTAGTGTGCCGTACGCTTTGCTGCTGGTATTTGCCACTAGATTGTGGTGATCTCCGTAGTCGCGCTGCGCATCCATAAAGTTCGTGTGTTGATGCTTCGGCTTATTGGCATCGCCCTCCCATGAATGCGAACCACCTCGCTTGAGACCATGCCCTGGACCGCTATATTCCATTATCTTCTCAGACGCCTTCTTGATCTTCTCACCGCAACGACCGCGTGATTCCCGATGTTTTTTCAACATGAATTTCTCCATTTCGTCGTTGTGTTTGTTAAGTAGCGACTCGGTTAATGACACCAGCTGTGCACTGCCCGATGAGGAGCTGGTGCCGGCATTGCTGGTGTTGGTTATGCTGCTCATGTGTATTTGGCTGCCGGAGGTAAAATTTCCCGAAGATCCGCTGCCGCCACTGCCTTCAAAACATTGTACCGGGCTGAGCGTATTTCGTGCATCAGCCGAAATACTGTACGATTCCTCGTTCTTCATGGGGTCGACCTCAACGGGCGCGGTGACTGGCTTGCTGTTAAAAAAACGTTGCAGATTCTCGTTATAATTTAGCTGGTTGTAGCTGGGCGGCGTTTCTGTTGAACTTTTGCTATCGTAGTATTCGTGGTGTGGCGAAATCTCACCCAACATCACTGAGTCGCGCTCGGAGACGGTCAGCTCATTTTCAGGAGGTAGTTCCAGCTTTAGATCAGTGCGTGTAACTTCATCCATTAGGGTTTCCATGAATGAAGCCAACGCTTGACAGCGACGCGAAACTTCCTGCTTTACAGTGTCCGAGGGTCGTGATATCGTTTCGTCCAGCAATTTGAGTATCTCATCCTTAATGTTACGGCTGCGCACTTCGTCCGAAAGTTTTGGTTTATTAACCGGCGCCGTATCGAAAACATTGCAATTTTTGGGGCCTATTAATAAATGTTTATTAGTATTACCATATCTTCCAATGCTCGCTGCCTCATAACTCACCTTGAAACACTCGATGATTTCCTATAACGAATTCCAGTTTACGCGACCACGGATTCACGAAGCTTGTCCACTCTGTCTCCAAGAGTATATAGCAGCCATTCTGTATCAGAAAACGATACGGCTTGCTGCAAAATGAAGCGCCCGCAGTCTGTCCTTTTTTCATAACAGTCTCATAGATTTCCTTCAACACCATCAGATCTTCCGGATGGTAGAAGTCTAATATTGAACGTCCGATAAGATCTTGCGGTAGATAGCCCAACGTAGATACAGCAGCGCTATCCACATGTGAAATGATGCCCGTCGCTGTGTGTCGTATTGAGAATTTAGGGCTTTTGTGTGACAGTATCTCATCTGGCACTGAAACAGGAGGCACAACAAAACGCACTGATGCAAATGAGCCAGCAAACACCAAGTCAAGTTTCTATACATACCTATATAAGAGCTCTTAATAGGCGTAGCACAAATTACTAGCAACATATTTGCTCCGTGTGTAATGAGATTGTCAGGGCGTGCTTTTTCGGGCGCCTCACGAAACGTCAGTCCCAGACGAAACGGCTCATAGCTCACCGGACGTCCAATGACGCCATAGCCACCGGATTTTAAGCCGCGATAACGACGTAGCATTACACAGAAGGTGCTGCGCTCATCCTTGGGTACACTGTTGCGAGATTCCGCGATTGGTATGCCGGTGGTGATTTGACTGGCAAATAAGGCACGATCTTTGGGATGCACGAAATCTATGAATGAACGTCCCAGCCACATGTCACGTGGAAAACCGAGCACATCGGTTATGCTGGGAGTGGTGAAAAGTACGATGCCGTCATGCATTGATATTGCACAGCAGAAATTCTCCTAGGATGCGATGATTGGAAAAGGAAGATACATTCAAATTGAAATTGATGCTTTTTGGGAAGTAATGAATATACATAAACAAAATTTTATATTATGCCAGCCACATTTTATGATTTGGTAAAGCGTCTTTTGAGGTATTGGCATTAAAGTCCTGAAGCAAGTTTATTATCGCTTTATCGGCAGTAAAATGGCCGACGACGATGGGAATAAGGAAATGTGCGCACATATTGTAGTAATAAATTTAAACTGTTATATAGATTGAATTTATCTTTATAAACAGGTGGCAACACTGTTAAAAAGAACAAAACCCTCGCTACTGTTAAGGGCCACATATCTCTAATACTTGCCTAATCCTGTCCGATCCTTTACTTAAATAAAGATTAGACATGGATTAGACACATGAGCAACTTAAAAGTAGTAAGGGTAAGGGAGCTTTGAGTTGCGTCTATATTGCAGAGGACCATCGATATGTACATAGTTGTTCTTATATTTATTTCTATGAATTATTCTTTGTATGTTTTCAAGTTCTTAAATTTTCTTACCTCTTTTAGTTTCCCTCCTTTACCGGAGCTTTCCAATTTTCCTGGCGCCGATTCACAAGTTCTCACAGATTTTCCATCTGGCTGTGTGGTACCTGAAAGTACAAATAAAATAAAAAATTGTTAGTATAGTTTCAATATCAATGCATCGCAATCATCATTTTCTTGATTACGACCACATTAATTGTAATCATAATATTTTTAGGATTACAATTAAAGTGTTCGTAATCGTAATTTTCATGATTACAATTATTGAATTGTAATTTAAAAATTTTTAGGATTGCAATTACAGTACATATTCGTAANCATTAATTGTAATCATAATATTTTTAGGATTACAATTAAAGTGTTCGTAACCGTAATTTTCATGATTACAATTATTGAATTGTAATTTAAAAATTTTTAGGATTGCAATTACAGTACATATTCGTAATCATGGATTGCAAAATTTTCTTGTGGCATATTTATATATAGATTCTCAGTTTCATGTTGCGAATTTGCGAGGCTTTTTTGTAGGTATTCTTGATTCTGTCAGTAGTGAACTATTTACCATTTGGATGGGAGAACTCAATAAAGAGAAGAAACAGATAGCTATTTGCAATTTCGTTGCTGTAAAGCCTGATCCTTTTAACTTTTGAGCACACAAATTTGGAAATTCAGATATTTCAGGTTTTCAATTGAAATTAATATATTAACATATGTATATTTCAATAGTGCTATTGAGCTTCGTACCACGGTTTGTGTGTTAGGAAAAATCAATATAATTTGGCAATATTTTGCAAAAATATCCACTGCATAACTAGTTTTTTATGACTAAGTGGCATTTTTTTCTTTAATAAAAGTGTTCAGAAAAAAATGCATTCAAACTTTTTCAATACAACCACAAATTAAAAAGTGACCTCTTTGGACCCATGGGTTGTAAAGGGTTAAGATGTTTATTTTTTCGAAAAATGTGGGAAAGCAGGATTGAATTAAATGAAGTTTGTTCCAATTTGGGTGCAGTTTAGATACTCAAGATCCGGGCAACCTTTCATTTTCAGGGACAAAAGGACATAGCAGAGCTTGTTTTTGCCCTCTTGTCCTTATATAGCTCACACATTTCATATCATTGACGTTTCAAGCAACCATCTGATTTTTGGGGCAACCATTTCCCCTGACAAAGCTTCAAAGGGCAGAGAATGTGCCTTTTTTTGGCTTGAAAGCGTGTGACATTTTAAGAAAGGAACACACAATTTTTTCATCTTTATTTTAGAATCGAACACGAAAAGAGAAGGGCGCAATCAAACAGCGACATTTTTTGGTAGAAACGGAATTACCATTAAATTTCCAAACGGCAATAATTCTCAGATTTTACTTACATACATTTGTATGTATACATATACATAGTTAAACTTACTTGACAATGGCGACGGTGTGGGAAACTGCAGCGAAATTTCCGACTTAGTTTGTTCGATTGTCTCCTTCTCCGACGGTATTGACGTCTCCTTATTTTCCTTCTGGCGACTGCATTGTGCTACAAATAATATGTAAATACAAATTGATTAACAAATGACTGATTGATGTTTTTGCGTATGAGATACGAAAGTATCAATTTACCAATTGCCTTTTCACAGCCCAAAGTATTTTGTTCCTCGCCCTGTGGCTCGCTTGTGGTGTTTGGGGCATCATCCTGATTTTCCAGAACATTTGTTTGAGCTGAGTATTTCAACTTCTTCTTTTTGCGTGCCTTATCTTTGACGCATTTGATGTGCAATTCGCTGCTGTGATTAAATAACAACAATGAAAAGAAAATAAGAAAAGAAAACAAGCGAGGTGTAAGGAATAGTATTGAATGAGCATTAACGTCATCGATTCACGGCGAGAGAAGCTGGGTAAATTTTGAAGATTTGGTTACACATATATGTATGTACCTGCTTGCTTGTGTTGATGGTTTACCGCCATAGCCGCTGCTGCCGGATGAATTGCTACCGCTGATGCGTGATTTAGAGCTAGCGCTGGAATTAAAAGTTTAAATGTACAGGTAAATTAAGAATTTACGAGAAGTTTTAGGATTAAAAAAGTCTTAACAATAAAATTCTATAACCTTTTATTTCTAGATACGTGTATTACAGTTTTAGTCCACTACCTGAAAAGGCTTTGCATAGAGGCGGAAAAAGTGGAAGTGACACTATGTATATG